AGAAGAAGGATGAGGGGGCTGGGCCCTGAGACCTTACAGCGTCTATCCATGGGACATCAAGTATGATCCCCAAAACCCACCAGTGTTCCAGTTCCCTCCTCCCTCAGACCCAGAAGTCCAGGCCCCCAGCCCCCTCCACCCTCAGACCCAGGAGTCCAGGCCCCCAGCTCCCTCCTCTCTCAGACCCAGGCTAGTGGTCTTCCCCATTTACCTGGGGATGTCTTGTTGACCCGGCTGAAGAAGAGAGCCCCCGGTCTCAGGGAGCTGCCACCCTCGTCCTCCTCCTTCACTCGGAACTGGCCAAGCTTGGTTACCTTCTAAGGTCCCGCAAGGTCAGTGCAGCAGGTGGGCTGTCAGCAGGTGGGGGTGAAGAGGTGGGGAGAAGGGAAGGCTCTAGTGGGTGGCAGGGAGAGCTTACCTGGGATGAAGCCTCTGCCTCATCTTTGTCGGGGGGGCTGTGAAATCGAACAAAACTCAGGCCATAGGGGGAGTCCTGCGAAAGGAGGGGTGAGCATCAGGAGCCTCTGGCTGTGGCCCTTCCGAGACCCTAGAGGCCTAGCCCCAAGCTCCTTTAATTAAGGGAAAGCCCTTTCTGGCTCTTTCCTTCTCATGGACACACGTTTACGGAGGTGCCCCAGTGACAGTGATGATGGTAATAACATCAAGCTGTTACTGGTACTAACTTTGGCTGAAGTGAGGCTCCTGAGCCCTTTACACATCGGCTCATTTAGCCCTCACAACAACTGGCAAAGATGTCTTGGTGTCCACGCGAGTCGACTCCCACAGGCCAGACTCCTGCCTACGGAGTGGAAGGAGAGTGCTGGAGTCGCTTCCGGCCTGGCCCATAGTGTCCCCCGCGCTCCAGGCTCTTTCTCCTCTGCTGGCTGGATGCAGAGCCACAGAAAAGGGAAGAGGCTGAGCCCCTGGATGACCTCATGGGGCTGGCTGACTGACACCCACCCAGGACAACGACATGCACAGCAAGTACCACAGCTTCCCCAGGTGCCACTTCTATCTTCTGGTGCATTACATACTTGGGTCTCATTGTTACTGCAGCTAAGCATCCCATAACCTACAGAACCCTATAATGATCAGGAAACTGAGGCCCAGAGAGGTTAAGTCACTTGCCTAAGGTCACACAGCTAAGAAGTGATGTTTCTAAGATTTGAACCCAGTGGCCTGACCTCAGAACCTCAGATGTTAACTACTACTAGACCGACCTGTCTAACAGGTCAGCTTCCCCCACCCCCACATTTCTCACCCCTTTGAGACCCTGTAGTTCTCCTTTCTTAGACTCCCTCCAGGAAACTATCGTACCTCACAGGATTCCAAACTCATCTCAGGAACCATAATCCCATGGGGAAACCAACTGTCCCATCCTCCCTGCCTCATGGGACTCAGACATGGGCCCCTCCTTAGCTCCTTCCTCCCCTAGAACCAGGGAATCTGCACCCCTAGCCCCAGCCCGAGGTACCTTGCTGTAGGGCTGGCTGCAAACAATTTTGACACGGTCCCAGCGCTTCTCAGCGGCTGCCCGGACCAACTTGTCAGGCCCAAAAATGCGAACACGGTTGGGGTTTGAGCCACTGCGGCTCTCAGAAGGGGACATGAAAGATGAGGTGACCAGAAGGACCTGGTGAAGAAAGACAGGGCATGGTGGATGAGAACCAGGGCTGGCTGGTTTAACTAAGACCTAGTGGGGCTGGGGAGGGAAAGGGTGCCCGAGTAGTCTCCAGCTGACAGGGAGTCACTGAAAATCCAGCTTGAGCCTATCTCCTGCCTGGTTTCTGGGCCTCCAGTCCTTCCTTGACACAGGCCCAGAGGGAATTTTCTCACCTCCAGATCCAAACAGTCCTTCTCTACACCCTTCCATAGTCTTTCATTTCTGGCAACATGACGGGCTACATGCCCTAAAGAACCTCCCAGTAGAGAATGTCTGCAATGAATGGCAAAATATTAAAGCACCCTTTGGAAATGCATGGCTGAGTGGCAGGAACCCAGGGGAATTATCAGAGGACAGAAATGAGAGAGCATAATCCAGAGAGGTGGGGAAGCTGCACTAGCTGTTAAGATATGTCTCTCACGGGGACTGGACTGTGGGACATAACGTGATACTCGTGAGGAGTGTGCCTCCTGGCCCAAGCCGATACAAGAGACTAAACGGACACCTTCTGTCTGGAGGTGAGATGGGAAGACAAAGAGGGTTAGGAGCTGGTTGAATGGACATGGGGAATCAGGAGTGGAAAGGCGGAGTGTGCTGTCGCAATATGGGGAGAGCAATTAGGGTCCCATAATAATGTATGTATAAATTTTTGTATGGGAGACTAACTTGAAATGTAAACTTCATTTAAACTACAACAATTAAAAAAAAAAAAAAAAGATACGTCTCTCAGCTCCAAACCCACTCTTCTGCACCCCTCTGTGAAGCCGGCCGACTCTGTAAACCACATTTCTGCTTCTCTAGTGGTTAAAGTGCTCGGCTGCTAACCGAAAGGTCAGTGGTTCGAACCCACCAGCCACTCCACGGGAGAAAGATGTGGTAACCTGCTTCTGTAAAGATTTACATACAGCCTTGGAAACACCATGGGGCAGTTCTACTCTGTCCTACAGGGTCACTATGCGTCAGAATCCACGCTATGGCAATGGAATTTTTTTTTTTTTAGCTGCTCCCCAGCAGTCTCTACCAATAGGGGGAACCAAAGGGATGCCGAAGGCTGGAGGAGTGAGAAGGGGTTTGCATACATTGAAATTATCACACACAAAATAAGCTAAGTTTGTTCAACAGTTAAAAGAAATCAATGGAGATACTGACAGTATGATGGAAGAAAAAATGACAATCAAAACTGAGCAGGCAGTTTTGAAAAACAGTGGAATAGCTGTGTGCCCAACACCAGGGGCTAAACCATGGTAGGCCCACAATCCCATCCCCTCTGCCAGTGGCTGTCTAAGGATGGTCATGTGATCCAGGTCAGCTCAGTGTGATGTAAGAGGGAGGCTCCTAGGGCCTTCTGGGAAAATTTTTCCTTTCTCATTAAGGAGAAACAGGAAGGATGAGAGCCACTGAATTTCTGTCACTCCGTTTCCTCCCCCACTTCCTGCTTTGGATAATACTAGGTAATGGATGGAGCAGCAGCAATCTTCTTGTGACCAAGAGGGCAAATCTAAGCGAATCGAGAGGTACTGACTCAGCAGCCTGACTTTGTTAAACTGCCAGATCGACTCTGGGTCTGCATAATGGTAACTTCCCTCCTAAAGAAACAATAAATGTTGTTATGCAGTAAGCTGCTTTTCGTTGGGTATATTCTGCTACTTGGTTAGTCTTCGCTTGTCTAACTGACGTGCTGTGAGATTAGAAAATAAAACCTTTTGCTGAGAACAATGGAGACTATAACTATATGCCTCTTTGTGCCCAGCTCTGATTGTGAAAAGGAAACAACAAGAGACCAAGAAAATTCTACAGAAGGGAAGCCATCTCCCTGGCCTGAACTATGCTGTTGTCAGGTGCCATGGAGTTGTTTTTCACTCATGGTGACCCCATGTGACAGAGGAGAACTGCCCCATAGGGTTTCCCAGGCTGTAATCTTTATGGGAGCAGATCGCCAGGTCTTTCTCCTGCTGAGCCACTGGCTGGGTTCAAACTGCCAACCTTTTGGTTACCAGCTAAGCACTTAACCTTTGGGCTACCAGGGTGCCTTTAGTCTGGACTACACTTGTTTATAAAAGATCTGACTTTGACCTGATCAGGGAACTGAATTTATCATCTAGTGACTAAAACGAAGGGGCTTGGTTAAGTGACCATTGAGGCAATGCAAACTGTGGTCAGCAGCTGCTGTCCATACACTCAAAGGCAGATTTCCCCTGAACGTACTCTCCTTCCGTTCGTTGTGAAGAAACAACAATGCTGGTTGTCAGACTGTTTATCTAACATTGTCTTTAAGCCTCCGAATTAAACCTTTCATCTCTAGACTGTGTTAACCTCAAAAGCTTATGAGTCTCCTTCGTAGAATTTAGAAGAGAAAAAAGAACATGTTGTTTGTAGAAAATGGTATTCATTATTAAAATATGTGCCTAATACCTGATTTGTACGGGCCATCAACAATGCCCACCTTTGTCCCACCCCTTTTCCTTTTCTATTGGTTCTTCCAGCCAAATCTAGTCTCTAGGTAGAGACTGAACATTGCGAGTCTCTGAGTCTTTAATTCAGTCTTGGCTAGACATTCTACCAGAAACCCAAGACTCCGTCAGAAGTTTAATTTAAAAACCCTGAAAGAATGGGGGATTGAGGCATAGGTGTTTTAAGACTGAGGAGATAAAGGCCTGAGGTAGCCATTCCATCTTGCTAGACAAACAAGCAAAGGCTAATAAACATTAAGAATCCCTGGGTGGTATAAATAGTTAATACACTCGGCTGCTAAATGAAAGGTTAGGGGTTCGAGTTCACCCAGAGTTGCCTCAGAAAAAAAAGGCCTGGCAATCTACTTCCAAAAATCAGCTATCAAAAACCCTATGGAGCACAGTTCTACTCTGACACACGAGGGATCACCATGAATCAGAATCAACTCAATGGCAACTGGTTAATAAACATTAACATACCAGGTATGATAAAAATTTTACCTAAAACTGCACTTATTCAGTTTTTGTCATTATAAAGTACAAGTCCGATCTAAATCTATTTGCCAAGAACAGAGCACTTTTTTTTAAATAGCCCCAAAGACTGTCGACTTATATAACCTTGAGGAAGAACGAATGCTTGTTAAAGGAAACCTCATTTGTTAAAATGTACTTTGTAGAACAGAAAAAGCACTTGATAAAATTCAACACACATTCATGAAAAAAGCTCTCAACCAACTAGGAATAGAAAAGAACATCCTCGACCTGACAAAGGACATTTATAAAAAATTCTACAGCTAACATATACTTAATGGTGAAAGACTCCGCACTTTCCCCCTAAGATCAGTAACAAGGCAAGGATGTCCACTCTCTCAACAGTTCTCCTTAACACTGTTCTAGAGGTACTAGTTAGTGCAATAAGGTGAGAAAACAGAAAAAAAGAAAAAAAAGGCATAAAAATTGGAAAGAAAGAAAACAGTCTTCACTCACAAATGACATGATTGTCTATGTAGAAAATCTCAAGGAATCTACACAGAACGGCTAGAATGAATATGTAACTTTAGCAAGGTCAAAGGATATCAAGCCAATATACAAAAATCAATTGTATTTCTATTATGCTATCAACAAACTAGAAGATGAAATTTTAAAACAAATCATTAAAATAGCATCAATAACTTGGGCAAAAATCAATAACTGATGCGAAAACCAGTGGATGCAAGTCTGAGGAGTAACAAGATATATAAAACCAAAAACCTGCTACCATCAAGTCAATTCATAGACTCAAAAGTATTTTCCCACGTGGTACTTATTAATTACAAAGGGCAAATAGTAATTTTACAGTAGAGAAGCCTGGCCGACAGCACCTTAACCAAATGATCCAAGTGAACATCATGAGTAATGAAGCAAGTCAACAGCATGTGCCTCGTGATATGATGCACTGAGAAGAACACAACATCCCTTCTGTGGTATTCTGGCTAAAGGTGTATAACCTAAATTTAATCACGAGGGAACATCAGACATTTTGTACAGTGAGTGACATGCCACAAAGTCCCTGACCTCTACTCTTCAAAAGGGAGTCCCTAAATGGTACGAATTATTAACGCGCTTGGCTGCTAACCGAAAGGCTGGAGGTTCGAGTCCGCCCAGAGGCACCTTGAAAAAGGCCTAACGATCTACTTCTGAAAAATCAGCCATTGAAAACCTTACGGAACAACTTGACCAAAAATCTAAATTTTGAGACCCATTAAAGTTCAACAAGGAAAAAAAGAAAACCCTATGGAGCACAGTTCTACTCTGATACACATGGGGTCGCCATGAGTTGGAATCCATTTGACAGCAACTGGTCATGTCAATGGCATGAAACACGAAGAAAAGTTGTAGGAAGTCTTCCAGATGAAAGCAAACCAAAGAGACGTGACAACTTAATGCAAGGCATAATTCTGAATTTTCTTTTGTGATAAAGAACGTTATTGGGGTCAAATGGTGTGAGGTGGCCTGGTGGCCGCACAACAGCCCCATGCAAAGCAACGGAGGCCAGTCGCAACCAGGAATGCGAGGCAAGGGAATATTTGGAAAAACCAGATCATGGAGTTACTGAACCTGCTCACCAGTGCACCCCTCTTTTTCCAGCCAGGCAAACAGAGATGGTTGTTGTATCTTGGATGGCCACTTGTAAGCTTTTAGGAACCCAGCTTGTTGTATCTTGGATGGCCACTTGTAAGCTTTTAGGACCCCAGCTCTGTGCAAGGAACTGGATGCGTTCTTGGGCCATTTAGCTGGGATGTCCCATGAAACCATGACCCTGAACCTCCAAACAAGGAACCAAATCCCATGAGGTGTTTGGTTGTACATAAGCAGCCTCAGTAGCTACTCTTTTTTTCTATCATTGTAAATATATCTATAAATGATTTTTACCAATTTGACTTTTCACAGGTGTACAACTTATCAAGAGCAATTACATTAATCAGCTGTGCAACCCTGCCCTTGATCAATGCAATTTTTCTATCACTGCACACCGAAACT